TGTAAAACTTACTCTAAACCCTGTCTCAGTGCACTATGCTCCTTGGCATAGCTGCCAACCACTTTCTCCCCTTTCAATGGTGTCCTAATAATTCTTTCCTTTTTCCTACTCTCCATCTTGGTAAATCCTTTCACCAACCCACGGCTCCCCCAAAATCCACAACAATATGGTGAAGTGTAGGGAAAGGATGTCTATGAGGAGAAGCAGTAAGGAGGCAAATCTGACTTGGCTGTATGAACAAGAGGGTGAGGGACAGAAGATGATGTCAAAAAAAGAAGTTAAAGTAAAAAGGAGGACAGATCACAGACCATTGAAAAGAGGCTTTGGGAGCCTCTGTGAGTGATTTAGCAGAAAAATGACACCATCCCACTAGTTTGAACACCATCCCTCTTGCTGCTGCCTTGAGAACAGACTGTAGGGGGCAAGGGTAGAAGCAGAAAGATTGGTTAAGAGGTTACTGAACACTGCAGGAGTTGCAGCTTGGATTCTGGATATGCTGTGAAGGTAGCAGCAATAGAATTTGCTGTGGAGAGGGGTAGGGTGTGAGAAAAGAAGAGAAGACAGATCCATGGTTTTTGATTTTCTCATCAAGAAGTATGATGGTGACATATATTGAGATGGAGAAAACTGGGGAACAAGCGTGGAGTGTGAAGGCTAAGCATTCACACTTAGCCTGTTAAGTTCACATTTGGCCTGTTAAGTTTGAGATTGTCTAAAGTGAGAGAGGGTGGGTGGGGATTTGGATACAAGTCTGGTGTTGAGAGGAGAAGTCTAAGTCAGAGATATTAATTTGGTTTACCTTCCAATAGGTGACTCCAGAGAAGAAAGGAGCCATGGGGAGTCCAGGTATGGGAGGTCAGGGAAGATGAGGGGGAACATTTTTTTTCTTTTAAGTCAAGGTCTTGCTTTGTATCCCAGGCTTGCCTTGAACTCCCGATCCTCCTGCCTTAGCCTTCAGAGTAGCTGAGATTACAGGCATGTCATACCACACTCAGTGGGCACAACTTGTAAAGGATTTCAAGAAGGCAAGGTGAGTGAAACAGGAAAACTGTGAGAGTGTGGGATCCTGGAAGCAAACAGGAGAAAGTGTTTCAAGGAAAGATTCAAAAGGAAAGAGTCTGTTTCTGTGATAGACAGTTGAAAAGACAAATGGGATTTTGACTACTGGTTGTACCACACAAGATGTTGGTGATCTTGATGGAGTGGTCAGGTCAAAAGCTAATTAGAATGTTCAAGAGAGACTTGAAGGAAGACTGGAGATAGTGTTTCCTTCAAGGGCTTTTACTACAAAAAAAAAGAAAAAGGGAAGTAGAGAAAAGCAGTTCTGCTGGAGGGGAAAGTGGAGTTGAGAGAATTTTGACTGCCTTTTTTTTGTGTGTGTGGCAGTACTGGGGTTTGAACTCAGGGCTTTGAGCTTGCTAGGCAGGTGCGTTACCACTTGAGCCACCTATTTGCTTTTAAGATGAAACAATCACATCATGCCTGTATGCTCATAAGAATGATCCAGAAAACAGGGAAAAGCTGGCAATGCAAGGGGAGTAGGAGGTGACTACTGGAGCAATGTCCTTGAGTTGCTGAGAGGAGGGTTGACCTTGGATAGTAGCGCAGCAAGGCCCTTAGCTAAGAGGGAACTGGGGGTGCTGTTCAAAGCTGGAGGAGAGAGAAGGTGGGAGAGGCTGCAGTACTGAGCAGCAGGAAGTGTGCACAGAAGGCTGGTAGCTGGGTTGCTTGGTTTTCTCACCCATGTGGGTGGAGGTGCAGAGTAGGCAAAAAATTGTGTTTAATAAAGGTAGGGATTTTGCCTTTTGGCTTGTATTGATGTACATTAATATGATTACCAATTCATACATTATTTTAAATCATGATTTACTTGAAACCAAACCCACACAAACCAAATATTTTATTTATTTACAATATTTTGGTGGTGCTGGGGTTTGAACTCAGAGCTTTTCACCTGCTAGATATGTGCTCTACCATTTGAGACACAGTCCCAGTGAAAAACCAAGTATTTTAATTACACAGTGAAAAATATTCTCAGTGTAGGGGAAAAATAGGTTTTTTTTTCAGAGCTGGGTATCAAAACTTAGGGACTAACACATGCTAGGCAAGTATACCACTGAGCTATACCCCCACCCAATAATATTCTTTTATTTATTTTATTTTATTTATTTTTGATGACACTGGGGTTTGAACTCAGGTCCCATGCTTCTGTTACTTGAATCACTCCATCAGCCCTGTTTTGTGATGGGTATTTGAGATAGGGTCTCACAAATTATTTGCTTGGGCTGACTTCGAACCATGATCCTCCTGATCTCTGCCTCCTGAGTAGCTAGGATTACAGGTGTAAACTCCCTGCACCTGGTTTGTATCGTTGAGAAGCAATCTAGAGGTTCTGGGACTTGGGAGGGTATAGTTGGAGAAGAATCAAAGCAGTGGTTTCACTGTTCAGGATAGATGGAACAAGAGAAGTGAAACGATGTTAGATTCTACTCTGTCAGGATTTCTTAAATCTTCCACAAACTCCCTTAGAATTCTATGTCTTATTCAAGATGCGAGTGAGGCTCTCTTAATGGTTAAGAGCTTGGACTGAACAGGCTAAGAAATCGAGTTCATGGTCCCGAGTTCTTAACCCATGAGTTGTGTGACTTTGGGGATAGCACTCAACTTCTCTTGGCCCATTTCCAGTTTCAAAGTTTCAATATGCAAAGTGCTAAGCACAGTGCTTGGCATTTAGTAAATGCTGAGTTTATCTAGGAATTTGTATATGTCGGGATCTAGCTCCCCATGACCTCATCCATCTTGGTCATAATCACCATTTTTCCCATTAGGTAATCATGGCACATATCCCAAGCCCTATAAGACAAACAAAGCTGTTAGGACAGTCAGCCAAGCATGGTGTGCTGGCCATTGACGTCCTGACTGCTTTTATCTGATGTTTTGAGAGAGGCTAGGCACATTTCAGTTGGCCACAGGCCTTCTTTGCCTAGCTTAGAGTAGAAATCTCTTCCATCTGCTTTGGGGTACAGGGATCCCTCTGTCCTGCTGCCACCCAAGATACCCTTTGTCTTTAAACCTCCAATAAAGTGCATTTTGTGCATTCTGGATCCATCTTTCTTAGGTCTCATTGCCCCTTCTGCCTTTCATGGCTGGTTCTCATATACTGGGACCTCGGTTTTTCTGAAACAGAATACATAACACCAATGCTTTAATGATATAAAACAATACTATAATGACTAACTATAAATGGAAGAAAATATAAATAACTGACAAGTATCCTGCTTGCCGGGCACAGCTATGTGGACTGACACGACCCCAACCCTGCAGGAACAGACTTTGCAGGTGGGAGGACAACAGGAACCTGAGGCCAAATTGAGGCTTAAGGAGACTGAGCAACTCTGCCCCATTCACATGGCCAGGCTCAACACTGAACTTGGACTACATACCAGGCTTCCTGGGTCATCCCATAGTCTTACAGCTATATTACATTTTTTTTTAAAGCTTATAAATCTTTTCCTCAAAGAATAATTTGACACGTAAGAGAATTCGGTCTTCCATTATTCAATGATATTCTTCACTTCTAAATAATATTAAATTTTATCAGAAGATTCCAAGTTGGCATTGTGGTTCAAGCAGTAAGAGCGACTGCCTAGCAAGCATGAGGCTGTGAGTTGAAACCCCACTGCCACCAAAAAAAAAAAACAAAACAGGAAAATTCAGGAGGATCACGGTTTGAAGACAGCCCAGGCAAATAGTTCACAAAACCCTATCCCAAAAAAAAAAAAATCACAAAAGAGGGCTGGTGGATGGCTCAAGGTGTAGGCCCTGAGTTCAAACCCCAGTACCACAAAAACAAAACAAACAAACAAAAGATTCCAAACCACTGGCTTTGTTTTCTGATTCCAGTTCTTTTCCCTGCCCCCTCTCCCCCTGCTCTCGCTTACCAATTTAACCATTTTTAAGTGTACAATTCAGTGTTACATCTATTCATACTTGGTGTCAAACAGATTTCTAGAACTTTTTTTCATCTTGCAAATCTGAAACTTTACATCATTCAGTATTTCCTCCCTCCCTATTCCCCCAGCCCCTGGTAGCTTTCTGTTCTATGGTCTACTTCCCGTAAGTTCACTGGCCGCCACATCGTTCAGATCACAGCTTTGTCAAATCTCAGGCTAGTGGCTTTCAGATAGCTATAACAAAGTTCCCTTTCTTCCACCCGCTGAGCAGAAACTACACAAAAAAAGAAGCTTCACCCCTAAACCTGAAAAATAACGGGAAGCTAACAAAGAATCTTCCTTCACCTTTCACATTCTTCATCTGCATTAAAATTTTTCTCTTTAAAACGCCTCTTATTTTTATTTTCAATTGTCATAAATGTTTCCAATTTTAAAACTCTGGGTATTTAGCTGGACATAGTGGTACATGCCTGTAATCTCAGCACCTGGGAGGCTGAGGCCAGAAGATCATGAGTTCAAGGTCAGCCTGAGCTATATACTGAGACCCTGTCTCAAAAAAAAAAAAAAAAGTAGTTATTTAAAAAAATCCATGCTTTTAAGTGGCGTTATAAACTAACTGAAATTTAGCAACTTTATCTTTGCTAAAATTAAAATGCTAACCTTTAATTTATCTCATGGTGGGATTATAGATGCCATAACTTTCTTAACTTTGAAAATTATCTGAAATTTGGTCATAATATATTTATCAAGAAAAATCTCTAACATTTTGAAATGCTATTAATAGCTAAATTCCTGAGCATGGAGTTGTTTTGTCTGGGAAGGTAGAAATAACTCATTTTTGGTGGGTGCCATTCTTCCTTTCTTCTTTCATTAGCTAAAATATTCAGGGCCTCTCCCAGTCATGCCCAGTGTTTGGCACCCAGGATCTTAAAATACATGACAAAAGTGGCAAAGAGCAAGTAAATGTCTCTGCTGCTGGTTGAATCACCTCTGTGACTTTGCCAGAATTCACCTTAAATTCTGAACGACTTATGTTATTTTCCATACCTGCTCCTCCTCTCAGTATGGAATCAGTGTTCACCTGATTGCCCGAAGAAAGAAATCTCTAGATCCTCGGTGACCCCTTCCTCCCCTTCATCTGTCATAGGTAGAGTAGATTCTGGTTTCAAATCACTCTCTGGTCAGTCCTCTTCTCACTCAACCTTAGTTCAAATCCCGACTCCTGCTGTGGCTTCCCAACTCTTCTTCCCAAGTGTTCTTTTCCTCAGCCCATTCTCTAACCTGCAGTCTTTGCTCTTTCAAAAAGCTCACCATTTCCCTTCTCTTCATAGGCTGAAATCAGCAATGTCAATAACATCAAAAGGTTTCTGAAAACACAGCTTTGTGCCTTAATCAGGGAAATTAGCAAATCCAAAGCCCCAGAATCCCAGTCAAGAAGATATCCAGATTCCAGATAACAGCACCAAGTAATCCTGAATGCTCACATTTTAAATAGAGTAACTTGTTTTTTTTTTTTTAACAAAATCAATAATAATAATTATTGCTGCCATTCATTCACTGAGAGACTCCTTCACACCCAGGCATCATACACCCACCAGTTACCTTTACAGCCACCTGCAGAGTAGGTATTACTGTCTTCTAGGAAAATGAGAGGAGGGAGAAGCCTTCCCCAGCACTTCAGGCCAATCAACTAGGAAGTAGCAAGGTCCAAATCAACCCACCTCTGCCTGCCCTGTTCTTGGTCCACCCCTTCATACCTCCCTGCCAACTGGATGGGAACTGATGCCACGCCCACAATGGTGACATCTATGGAAATGAAAATATTGCGGCAAAGTCAAGCAGGCTGTTTTGACTTATTACTTGAGGGCAACAGGCTGACGCCGGGTGGACAAGAAGTGGCTGCTTTCGTTTCCGGCGTGTGTGTCTAGGGACAGCAGGCTCAGGAGTCCTTGACAGCTCAGAGAATCAGGGCCCAAGGAAGATCTCTTCTACCTCATTTCTTTAAAGCTTTATTCTGATTGCTTACACTCCTCAAGGGGAGAAAAAAAATCTTCAACAAATCGTGGGGCTACAGAGAGCTGTGTCAGCCCACAAAGTCTGAAGGAGAAACTGTCATTCACATAGCTTGATTAAACCACAGACTGATATTTTAGGAGGAAGTAGGTAAGAAGATCTGCAACCCTGGCCCGTCATCTGCTTAGTTTGTTAAAAAAAAAAAATGAGAGAAGGAGCTTATTATTTCTTGAAATTGAAAAACCCAAATGGAAAAAGCCCCCAGATGTTTTTGTCTGCTTAAGTTCTCAGGGAATCTGACAGGTGGATGCACATTCCTTAGGTGGCAAGGAGGTATGCATACTCACATGTCTGAGTAAGGAAGGTCACCTTATTGTCATGCCCTGTCATCGATGGGTGCAGAGGAGAAGAAAAGAGGAAGGAAGGGAGATCAGTGGGGGCACGCCACACTGTCACCCATGCCAAGAGAAGTAAAAAGTAGGTGGGCTCTCCACTTGGTCACGTGCTCATCAGCTGAGTCATTTTTGTCCTATCAAGAGAGAGACAGCACTTCCGTCAGTGGTGGGGCAGCTGGAGGGCATGGCCCCTGTGGCCTCAGGCTGCTCTGCAGCAGTAGTTGGGGGCTTCCTCTTTTACTTATGGAGCTAGTTAAGTACAATCATGGCTCTTCTCTTGCTGTGCTATGAGCAGAACCCAGCTGTGGGCTCCCCACTTCATCTCACCTAATTCAACAGGCTGTCCAAACCAACACTGACAGGGTCACAGCAATTTGTTTTATGTATTTGGGACAAAGCCTAAATTAATTTAGCCCTTAGTCTGTCACCTTCAGGCCAAAGACCCTGTGTTTCCTAGATGCCTTTGCCTATGGGCTTCATGCAGGTCCTGCAGGGACCACCAGGGTAACTTTAACTTGCTCCTCTCCCAAGAAGACTTTGGAACTCTGTTTGCTAATAGCCACTTGCAACCTGCGTAGTGAGACATTTGAATCTGATGCCAACGCAGGTGACTCCAGCTTTGGCTGTCCATCCAGAGCCAAGCTGCTTCTGGGGAAAGAAGATGCTGGCTAAGCCATCTAGTGATCATTTATGCAGTTTGGGGGTGCTGGGACTGGGGGGCACAGAGTGGAAAACAGAAATAGAGCATCATTGTGACTGTAGTCAGGTTTGTTTCCTCACTTTTCCAACCTACAAGGTTGATCCTGAAAAGCCTTTGAGGTTTGAAGTGATCAATTCAAATAAAAGAGGCTGAAGAAAGTGGAAGAGAACAGAAATTGAGGAGGGAGAAGTAGAATAAAACACAGTAGGACCTGTGCTAAGCACTGCATCCACTGAGGGCTGACCATGGTCCTTCTGCCTTCTTTTTCCTCCCTCCCTTCCTGTCTCCTTTCTTCCCTCCTTCCATTCCTTTTCTCTTTTTCAGAAAACTATCGGCTACATTAACTTATGGTCACAGAATCTACACATAACTTCAGTTAAAAGGGAAATAAAATGACAAGGGAGGTAACTGAGCTAAGGTGTTTCAGCTGTTTTATAGGAAGACTCGCTGAGCAGATGAATATTTATTACTGCATTAGAAAGAGTGTGGTACTTGTCTACAGAAATCATTTTATTTGTAGACAATGAGGTAGTCAAATTTGGAGGAGCAGTTAAGAGCCACCCAGAACCTTCTGATGCATGCTTAGCCTCCTCTGGTCTGTGGGCAGTGGCTAGCTAGGAGCAGCAAGCTACGACTGGGAGTCAATCCAGAGCATTATCACAAGCCAGGAATACAGATGTCTGTGAACCAGATCTGGAAGTGCAAAGTCAAATGGCTGGAGGGACCAGATAAGAGATATCATTTAGGAAATTCCTCTCTCTTTTCTTCTTCTTCTTTTTTTTTTTTTGGCGGTATTGGGGTTTGACCTCTACTAGGCAGGCACTCCACCACTTGAGACACTCTGCCAGCCCAATTAGGAAAATGAGCAGGATTTCTTCTTTGTCTATTAAACATATTGGTTTCCTCCAAGAATTGTACTTTTTTTTTCTTGAAATTCTTAAACTTGTCATTATGTCTTTTGTTTGGCCACTTTTCACAAATATATGGGGAAAGAGAAATACTTCTACAGTAAGGGAAAAAAAAAGACAAGTAAAAGTATAGTACAGTGGTGAATGAAAACTAACACTCAGCCTTTGTGTTGGAGACAGGAATGGTGAGGACTGTGGCAAACTGGAGAACCCAAGAGCTAGATCAGTGGGCAGGAGTCACTCTGCTCTAGCAGATTAAATTCAGGGGAAATGTGACTTCTATTTTGCTGGATAGTTCAGCTTTTCAAAAGAAAAAGCTGTACGTAAGTCTTTTGAGCTAGAACCTTACCTTTAAACGTGCTCAAAGTATGCATGCACAAAACAAACAAAACAACAAAACCAGCACCACACAAGTAAAACCAAACAGCTTTGCAGGATTGCAGTTCTTGGTTTGCACTTGTGTCTAGACAATAAGGTATCAAAGTTGTCCAACTGAACTGGGACAGTGAGGAGCAGACAGATAAGCTCTGAGGACTTGCAGAAACTATGAAAATGGTCAGAAACAGAATTCTTAAACCATTCTCACCTCAGGAATAGACTTTTTCTTCTAGCTGGAGTAAAAACAAGTAATGGTTTCCTAGGCAACCTCCAGTCTGGCATAGCCTGGAAACTCACATGCTTTTGCAATGCAGCATCACTTTTTTTTTGGTGGGGGGGGAAGGTGCAGGGGGCAAGGGTACTGTGACTGCTTCTTGCTTGCTAGGTAGGAGCTCTGCCAGGTCCCCAGCTTCAGCATCACTTTTTTTTTTTTTTTTTTGGTGGGACTGGGGTTTGAATTCAGGGCTTCACTATTGCAAAGCAGGCACTCTACCTCTTGAGCCACACCTCCAGTCCATTTTGCTGTGGTTATTTTGGAGATAGGGGTCTCACAAACTATTTGCTTGGGCTGGCTTCAAACCTTAATCTCGATTCAGCCTCCAACTAGGATACAAGTGTGAGCCACCAGTGCCTGGTCCAGCATCACTTCTTGATGGGCAAGTGTTGGCACAATTTCCCAGTCTTACCAATCTAAGAATAGAAGCTGAGATGGTCTATTAACTCCCTGATGTGGCAAATTTTAACCATTCTATGAAGTACATTCTATTAAGAACATTCTATTAAGTTCTATTAAGAATTTCTTGGTAAATTCTATTTCTTTATATTTGTTTTTTTATTTATTTTGAGATACTGTGGTTTGAATTCAGAGGCACTGGTTTGAACACCTTGAGCCACTCCACCAGCCCTTTTTTGTAATGAGTTTTTTTAAGGTAGGGTCTTGTGAACTATTTGCCCAGGCAATCCTCCTGATCTCTGCTTCCTGAGTAGCTAGGATTACAGGTGTGAATCACTGGCGCCTGGCTTCATTTCTTTAACTTTTTGTTTTATTTTGTCTTGTTTTCTGAGACAAGGCCTCATTATGTAGCCCAGGCTGGCCTCGAACTTATTTATGATCCTCCTGCCTCAGCCTCCCAAGTGCTGGGATTACAGGTAGGCACCATCAAGGCTTTATTTCTTTCTTTGTAACACAATGAAGTTCTCAAAGTTTGAATGCCTTATAAGCATCTTTTAGGTGTTTATATTTGTGGTGCTTGTTATAAATAGAACTACTTAGGTATTTGTAGCACCAGCATATTGATATGGCAATATTCCTTCAAAATTGGGCAAGTTTAGTGGTGTGCTTTTGCATAGATGCTTAGCTTTCCACATATCACTCCTCGAAGCTTATTTTTATGCTTCCTCAAAAGGTTGAGGCGGGAGGATTGCTTGAACTCAAGGGTTCAGGACCCTGAAATACTGAGACCCTTCTTAAAAACAAAAGCGAAACAAATCAAAACAAAAACGAACAATAACCAAATTTACTTCATCTTTGTTAAGGAGTAATGATAATGAAATATGGCTAGGGCTGTATCAATGACCATACTATCTATAACTTGAAATAAGCCTTCTGTAGGTATCCAGATTGACGTGATGACAGCCGTCTTGGTCAGGACTACCATTGTGCCTGCCAGGTGACACTTGCACACATCCCAAACCCTCTAGGCCAAACAGTCATTAAGATAGTCAGCAGGACGTATTATGCTAGCTACTGATGCCCTGGATTATTCTTAAGTGATGTTACTAGTTTTTGAGAAAAGCTAGGTGCATTCCAATTAGCTGTGACCCATCTTTGTCTACCTGAGCATAGAAACTACTTCTTCCTGCTTTGGGGTAAGGACATCCTCCCATCTTGCTGCCACCAAAACATGCTTCTGTCTTTATTTTCTAGTAAATTTCAAGTTACGCCATCCTGGATCTGCCCTCCTCTTTCTTCAGTCTCTTGGTCCCTTCTGCCTCTGGTGACTGGTTACATGCTAGGACCAGGTTTTCCAAAACACCTTCCATGTAACTTTGAATAAATCTTTATTTTCTTTTATAGAATACTGGGGAAATAGAATTTAAATGAACAATTGTGCCTTTTAAGCCATATAATATGTGTCCTTTATTTTACTCATTGTTTTTCTATATTCTCTTCAATTTGCTGAACTGAGAAGGATCAGAGTTACCAGTCTGGTACAGATAGCAGTGTGATGCCACAAACACATTGTCTTCTGTTACCAGCAAGCAATGGGCAAAGCCTGTCATGGCGTTAGCATTGTAGATAAGATGAAGACATATATGGGTTTGCTAAGAGCACATATAAT